CCCGACTAAGGTGGCCCAGTCACCCATGTGTCAAATCCTTCTGCAGAACTGACTCTGGTGTGACAGACAGTTGCACCAGTGCAGTACAGCTCAGATTTCTTCTCTCAGCCACTGATGTGACTGAGGTAAGAACTAAACTATCACCATGGAGATTGACTTTCAGTACAGTGCAGTTAACACTTAGTGTAGAAACATGCTAGCTACAACCGTATATAAACACAGCTGTCATCAACAGGATTGTAGCACACATTTGCTGACCAGTACAACCATGAATCTTACTGGTAGAGAATTGTGCTATAATAAAGCTGTGCAAAAGATAAAACTTTCTTACATGACACCGTTGACATTCAGCATAGATTTGAACACCTCTGACTACCCAGTGGAGCAACACCTTGATACACCCCAAAAGTTGTTAAGCAGTACATGGAAGCATCACTAGACTGGGCCTCAGAAGACTTGCATTCAGTTCTGGGCCGCCAGGGCAAGTCACATCTCTTTTTACTTCAGCATCTTCATGCATAGAATGGAGATGATGATGCTGAGCTCCCTTGTAAACCCAAGAAGATCCACGGATGCAGAATGTTATATAAAACCTAGATATTTTAACTAAACTTGGCTGTTTCCAGTAGGATTCCATTCCCACAGCAGACCCTGACCGTGTCCGATTTTCCATCAGACCTCTCCAGAATTATTTAAGCACAGCCTGGTTGGGTGCTGGTCTACTTCCAACACTGGATGTTAGTCATCAATTTAACTTTATATTTGGCCTTTCTAAATGGAAAGCAGTCTCTCTTAAAACTGCCCTGGCAACAAAGTTTCTACTCACTGCTCATTTGATCTTATTCCTTATCACAAAATACATTCATGTCATTTAACTTTAAAAAAAAAAAAAAGATGGGGGGGTTTTATAAAATAGCCCTTTGGAAGAAACTGTGAACCAATTGACTAAGTACAGACAGTCAAAAAGCCCAAGGCTGAATCGTTTCAGTCTTTGTGGGTTAGTCCAAACTGCAGAGATTAAGCTGAGAAACAACTGGACAGACATTCGCTTTCGATTCAGGAAATGCAGTCACATGCCTGTGGTGGCTGAGGCCAGAAGCCAAGCGCACTAGAGCACAGCTACCTGGCACATGGCCAGCACAGGCTGTGTATTCATTTCCTCTTCCTGCTGCCCCTGAGGTCTCTGGGATTTGCAGCCCAGACTCACAGCAACAGAACTCTGCAGGGTTGCTCATCACTTCCTCTTCCTGCATCCAGGTGCCTCTGGGATTTGTAGTCCACAGTCACAGCCAGCAGTAAGTTTTTAGCAGGGCAGCTCTGTACTCAGGGGATGGGAAGTTCAACCACCCACTCCCTGGCCCCAGACTCCAGCTGGGGTTTGCCTGGGGGGCCGGGGGCAGTCTGTGCCCTCTTCCCCCAGCCCTTTCCCCACCACTCCTGCCAACCCTTCTCTGCTAGAGCAGACAGCACAGCCCAGCCCAGGGCTGGAGAGCATGCTGGGATGCTAGGGGACTATGATTTAACTTGAACCAGGAAGGGGTCCAGTACAGAAGTTTTATAAACCAGTTTGACCCAAATTACTTCAGTCTGATACTACATTCAACCAAGTTTATCTTAAACCAATTTCAGCCATTTTGAAACTGGTTTATGTGCACTGATCTTCTGTTCTGTACAGGTTTAAACCAGTTTATCATTACTTAAACCAGTTTATGTATAACTTCTGTCTCCAGCCATTAAGTTTAATGAGTCCTTTATAACAGCTCCACATTTCCATTTTTAAAAATATTTGTTACTGAGCATAGGCTGGATCATAGGACTGGATGCAGCTCCCACTTGAATACAGAAGAACACTCAGTGACATCTGTAGGGATTTGGATTGGGCGTCAATGAAATCACACAAGACTTAAATCCATTTATAGTCAAATTAAGACTCCATTTCAACGCATTTCTGTTGATCACTAAAAATGAAGCCTCACTCCAGTTCAGTATTTAAAAAAAAAAAAAAAAAAAAAGT